CTTTACCATCCAACAACACATGCTGCCCTTTTGTTGGCAGCTCTGGGTGGAGGATGGAGGAAGACAAAGCTTAGTGGTGAACATTTATCCTTGGTGATGCGGCGTCTGCAGTCAACGCCACGACTAGCCATGGAATCCGTCCACTCATGTTGATGATCTAGGCCGGTCTCTACTTGTCTTACCACATCGGTCCACTTTGGTTGGTAGAGGTATTATTTGGTAGAACCTTTACCATGTGGGCGCCGGCAGTTCAGAATCCTATATTTGCTAGTATTCGTGATATTAATTTAGTAGCTGTATTACATGATACTAGTAGAGGGCACGTCCACAGGGTACCTGCAACTAGACACTGAAATTACGGGAGAGTGCCTTCCTTTAAAGTCGTAAAGATCATGGTTGACAATCCGTCAAACATTCAGACAGAGAATTTATTCTGTCCTGTAGCTCTGGGCCCTATAATACAAACACGATGGAAAGCACGAATAAATATGCGTACTGATTATGCGGCGACAGTACAATACACTTTGTTATAGCAACAAATGGTTTGCTTCTTATCTTTAGTACTTGGAACTCACTCAACTATTTAATAATAGGGATACTTTCGATTGTCAACAGTCTTACACAGGCTTCAGTTGTCGGTGGATTGATGAGATGATTGGCACATTTCAATAATACTTGTTTTGGTTATCTTCGCATAAGCAAGGCCTCCGGCAAGGCAGAATAAACAGAAGCGTTCTTTATATGGAGGATCGTCTCCATTGTCTAGTGGTGGAGCGTATCCTGGAGTGCGGTGGGTCGGGGGTTCGATGCCAGTCCGCGTTATACCCAAAGACGTTAAAAGATATTACTTCTTGTTACCCTGTCTGGCGCTCGGCATTAAGGGGCTAAAACAAGGACTGTTCGGGTTGGAGTCAGTATACTGTGTCTGAGTGGGGTGTCCATGTTAAACTGCGGGGTGGTACTTACTTACTTACTTACTTTGGAGATTTAACGTGCGCTTTCCGACTGATGCGTATTTCGCACACGGGCCCGGCCAGGCCACTTAATGTGTTTCCGAAAGGGGCGAAAGTGATGTGAGCAACCCAAGAGGGGTCTTTAGGGATTGCTTATATAGAATTTGGGAATTTTGAGATTTGGAATAGATTTTTAGGTGGTTATTTAGGTTGGTGTGTCCTGTTTGGAGTTTAGTGATTACTCTGTCGATTTTTTTTTATGGATGGAGAATTTTTGGTTTTGTTAGTGGTTTGCTGAGTACTTTTTTGATTTGGCTATTTGAGTTTAGATATAGGTTATGCCATTTTTGTGATTTTTTGCTTGTTTACACTTTCAATTTCTGATTTTGAGATGGGTAAGTTTAAGCTTATTTCTGGGATTTTGAGGGATAGTTTAGCTGCTTTATCGGCGTTTTCATTACCGTATATTCCTACGTGGGCGGGGATCCATAAGAATGTTATTTGTTTGCCTGCCTTAGTTAAATCGTTTGAGCTTTTTAGTATCTGATTTATTAGTTCAGGGCGGTTTTTGGTGTTTTTATTTTGGAGGGCTTGTAGTCCACTGAGCGAGTCGGTAAGTATTAGGATTTTTTGTTGTTTTTTAGATTGTTGATTATGAAGGGCTGAGGCCATGCCCATTAGTTCGGCCGTGAATATTGATTGATTGTTTGGGAGTCGGTAGGATTGTGTGGCTTTAGTTGGTTGTGTGATGTGCACTCCGAAGCCTGTGTGTTTGGAGATCGGATCTGAGGATCCGTCTGTGTAAATGCAACACCAATTTGGCCAATTTTCGTGTATGTATGCTAGTGTGGTGGTTTTTGCTATGTTTGGGTCGGTTTGTTTATTTATTGTGCTAGCTAGTGTTATGTCTATTTTGGGTGTTTTAAGTTTTGGGGTGAAGATATTTGATTTTTTACAGTTTTGTTTAAGATTTTTAATTTGGTGTTCATTTAGGTAGTTTGTTATTCTTTGGGATATTGGGGTAAGTAAGGGGTGTTTACGAGCTAGAGCTTGTTTGGGGGGGGGGGGGGGGGGGCTGATATTTTTGTTTATTAGGTTTTGGATTAGGGGGTAGGATTGAGACGCGGCCCAGAAATTTAGGGTTAATTGTTCCCTTCGATGATTTAGTGGCATTTCTCCTGTTAAGGCCTGGAGTGAAGTGTAGGAGGTGCCATGTTGAGTGCGTGTTATTAGTTTAAGAGCCTGATATTGGATTGAGTCTAGTTTTTTTATTAAGGATTGGCTTAGGGTGTCGTATATGGCTCATCCGTAGTCTATTTTAGATCTAATTAGTGATATATAGAGTGAGAGGAGGGTGTCTTTGGAGCCGAGTTAAGGGAAAAGCCCCATTTGTCAGCCCATTGCTGTATTTTGTTTAGAGATTTTTGAAGTAGGTTTTGGGCCATTTTAATGCTTTTTGTGCGGATCCATCATCCGCGAATTTAGATGTGTTTATTTTAGGGGATAGGCCCTCGAATAGATCATTTATCATTATATTGAGGATACTGCCCTGGGGAGTGCCATTTTCTAGGGGACATTGGTCCGATAGCGTTTGGTCTATACCAACGGTTATTTTACGATTGTTTAGGAAGTCCTGGATGTAGTTTATTATTTGACCTTTGAGTCCTATTTTTTGTAGTTTTTGTATTAGCCCGTCGTGCCATAGTATGTCGAAAGCTTTGGAGTAGTCTAAGAAGATGCCTGTAGCATATTGTTTGCTGAGTTGTCAAGGTCTTCCTCCAGTGTTCGGCCTATATACACTCTTCAAACAAAGAAATGCACAGGTACATTTTAGCAATGTTATTGCACCTAATAAAGTCGATATACTTAATTTAATATCATAGATATACATATGCAGTTTTGGAGCTCGATAGTCACATGTTGTCGTTGTACGAAGGCATTGAAAACTGTTCATTGTCATGTCACACAAGGCCAAAAGGGCGCGCTATACTCAGTATCTAGTGTGACAGCCCCGAGCAGCAATCACGGCTCTCCATGGATAAGTGTACGAATTCTGTCCTGCGGAATTCTGCGCCATTCTGCTTGTAGCGCGTTGGCCAGTTGTTGGAGTGTCTGAGGTTGACATACACGTTGCTCGAGTTCATCCCAGAGGTGTTCGATTGGGTTGAGATCTGGAGTTTTCGACGACCAGGGCAAAACGTTGATGTTGGCATTATGGAGGTAGTCTACCGTGACACGAGCTGTGTGCGGTGGAGCGTTGTCCTGTTGAAACAGCTCCCTGTGGCGGTCAATGATTGGAAGAAGGTGAGGTTGAAGAATTTGATTCATGTACCGATTTGATGTAAATATTCCCTGAAGTTTTCTCTGTTGTACTGGAAGAAGGAGAAAAGGTGCAGCATCAACACTTCCACCAAGAATCACCCACCGATCGTCCCAAATAGTCATGTGTACCATGCTGTTCTGAAAAACGTAAATGAGGACCAAGCCTTAATGAGCGTCGGAGTGAATGGGAAAGTTATAGTCTTGTTGTTTACACATTTTAAAGACCAAATATCATAAAAGATGTTATAAATTTCTCTTACATTATTATGTAGCCACTATCATGTACAATACGGTTCCCGATAAAGACAGTGTGCGAACGTAATGTAAACTTAGCGCTGTTGTGCTTCATTAAAAGTACATATTTTGTGTTCTGTGTTTGTAACAACCCAAAAGAATTTTTAATGCGCCAAATGGTAGGCGTGGCTTAATTAGCACGGCTGTCCACGTGCCCAAGTGTCGTTACTTAAATATCTAGATCAATTAATATCACGAGTGTCAGAAATGCACTGTCCTATTATAATAATATACAAACATGACAAGACAGTGCTTTTCTGACACTCGTGATATCAATTGATCTAGAAATATTTAAGCCACAACGCAAGGTCCTGTGGGTAGGATTTGGCCTTCAAGCTGATTGGGTATTACAATCAGAATAACAGAATATACGCGATCGATTCATTGTTTGTGGGGATACCTGTATTGTACATATTATAGCAGTTTGATTCCATGTAGACAGACAGACAGACAGTTCATCTTCCGAAAAACATTCCTATTCCAGGCTCTAGCCCTATTGTCACTGTCAGAGTCGGCAGGTTGTGATCGATTTGAGCTCACGATCCTGGTGTGTTGTTGTTGTTGCTTTAAGTGGCCACCTTCTGCCTTAGCAATTTCGTCTTACCTGTCCCTCTTTGAGACATGTTCGTCAGTAGGGTACACATATCTACTCGGAGTTGATAAAATTACTGCTTTTGTGTTGATGAGATTTCTATTGATATGATTTCATGTTTTATTTTTAGAAATTGATAGAATATCCTTTCTGTTCTGTTTATATACGTTCGAGTATCATCAGGCTATCTCTCAAAAATAGCTCGTTTGTCCTGTGATCTAGTACACTGAGAGAATGGAGTTCAGTGATGCTGAGCAATTATGTGGTTTAAATTGGCGCGAATTCTTTATCATTGACACACAAACGAAACAAGACTTCACTCAAGCACGTCTGGAATGCTCGGGGACATATATTCATGACTTATCTTTCCCACGAAGGAACTTTCATGAGGATATGACGTCAACTATCATAATTAAGTTTTCCTCGCAACAGAAGTCTTACCGATGTAGTTGAAGTAGGTATCGATGTTGGCGTGCTGAGTTCAGACACGATAATGTCAATCACTGCATTGTCTAGTCCAGACGCAGTCTCGTTTATTTACAGACCGCCGTCATATTGCTGAAATATTGCTGAGTGCGGCGTTAACAACCTACTCACGTTTGTAATTTATCAAATGTTGTCAAACTGGGTGGTGTGTGGACATGCACCAGGCGTCTATACAGGCTTTATGGTGACAAGACTCTCATATAGACGCTATACTATAGGTAATTTGAAAGGAAAACAAATATTAAACGTTTAAGAGCATTTTTTAATTAGTATTTTACTGTTATAAGCCCACTGAATATGATGTGTGGCTGGCAAGTTTTCATCATCCTTAGAGTTACGTCCCTTACAAAGATGTCAGCTCCCATGGCCAATGTGAAATATTGAGTGGGGATCACTGTGTGTGTAGTATCAATATGTAATAAGTAAAGATAAATGCAGCGTTAGATATATGACATTTGAATGCTGTATCACAAATGGGGAAAAAGAAGCAAGCTAAGAGTTTGACGGCAATTGACAAATTAGCGAAAAAAGATGAAAAGGGTAAGTATTGAGCTGTTATATATTTTGGCACTTCCACAGCCACAGGTTGTTTTGATGATTTGCTGTTATGAATGTTTGGGTTTTTCATAAATATTTCTTTTAAAGTTGATTCGGTTCAAATGACGTGATTCGGGAGTTTTGAGTGGTAGGTGAAATAATATGGTGAAACGCCAGGTCGAACACAGCATGAAATGGAGAATGTTAGTGTGTTCTCAAGTAGTAGCTAGGCCATTTAGTTCTTGAGCTGCTTTCGAGGCAAGACGTAGACATGAAAATGAAGACAATTAATTTGTGACCATTACATTACAATTGCTCGAAGGGCCGTGGTGGTGTTACCACAGTGGCCAGGAGCCGCGATTGTGTCCGACAGTCGCCAAGACGTGTGTTCGTTCAGGCTCAGCTGTCTTATTTTCAGTAAGCATCACAACTTATTGGGCCTGTAGGAAAGTTCCACAAAATGGAATAGGTTTGGGAAGATTGTGATGTTTAGAAATGAATTATTTATAGTGAATTATGACATTTAAACATTGTTGAAGAGAAAAGGGTAGCTGAGTTTGCATACAATAAATTGTGATGTTTATAGAAAATAGTATATCTGCGCTTGAATATATTCAACAGAAAACAAACTGCCTCTTTATATTCATCATTAGCATGATTATTTTGAAACACTGTTAAGCGTGAATACATGGCACTTTTTATCCATAACAACTTCATTTATTCTTTGTCACAATGTTTTAGAGCTACTTCTTGCCCCTTCATCAGGTGAAATGTCATGACAGAGAATAAAAGGGCCTACCTTTAGAATACAGTACCACAAACTTTTCAAACAAGTGACAATACCTATGACGTAATTTGTAGTATTTTGTTGCCAGTCACACCCGCGAAACAATGCCTTGTGACGTCAGGAGTCATCAAGTGTGCATAAGCTCCTCCCAGTGATCTATCATCACTACACGAAATGTCATTGAATACGCCAAGCGCTGTGGAGTGTTTTGAATATTTGTTTACTGAATATAGCCTGCGGCCGCGCATTTTATAGCAAGCGTTAGTTTACGAAAGCACTTTTATTATTTATATAATTTTTATTTCGTTTTTCTTGTAATTCAAGTGGCTAAAAGGGTTATAAATGGGAACTAATATACATATATTATTTTTTGGTGCATTAATTTTCATTATGCACAAGAATGTAGTTTATTAGGGACATTCTATTGGCGCTGAACACATCCAAATATAGCTAGTGTTAGGGTAGGTTACCCCGAACTCTATCCTTAGCCCTTGGATCCCCTTTACGATCAATCACCCCTTTTCGATCATTAGGGTTAGGTACCCGTTTACTGGCTATTAGATTACCCGAATTCTGTCCTTAGCCCTTGGATCCCCTTTACGATCAATCAACCCTTCACGATCATTAGGGTTCGGTAAATCTACCAGTTTAGTTTCTATTATAGAATCTTCAGCGGCTCCTAATATTCTTCACACAAAAACATCAAGTAAAAAGAATGAAATGGTTTTGTGTTGAATACTTTGGCTACTGGAAACTGTCCTGGAACATTCACACAAGCCACTTTCACCATTCACACAAGCCACTTTCACCGGCTACATTTTTTCAGTACTGATTCAAAAGCGAACTCACCTTTGTGTCGTCACTAGCCATACACATGTCTCCCTCGTTCCTTACTATTATCCACATCATGCTTACAGTGTTCCCTACCACACTTTTCTGTCACAAAATCCACCCGACGTATTATAAAATAACACGTCATTCATGCGTACTCGCGAGTTCGGCGTCTGACGTCTGATGCCTGGATCCGTTTTCAGTTCGCGCCATATCAGATCATTCCTCGCCACTCGGTATCTTGTAGATTACGGAATGGGACGAGTGTGCAAAATGGCATCGGGATCATTCGTAAGTGTCGATAGACTAAAGTCACGAGACACCATGCCTACCCGTATCCTTCGTAAGGGTCTGCACCTAGTCGACCCTTTTCGGTCAGTACCATAATGTCGTAGGCATGACTAGGTAAATTTGCACTTAGGTTCACAGTGTGGACGTAGCTCAGTCAGTTAGCTGTCAGGCTAACAATCTGAAGGTCGCGAGTTTGTGTCCGATGGATTCTCACAAAAACTGATTGCTTGTCTTTGAGACATGTGACCTACGGCAGAGACCGTCCTCACGAGAAGTTGTGGTACTGTATTCTAAAGGTGCTCCCATTCTATCCATAACAACTTCTTTTATTCTTTGTCACCATGTTTGAGAGCTACTTCTTGCCCCTTCATCAGCTGAAATGTCAAATGTCATGACAGAGAATAAAAGAAGTTGTTATCCATAAAAAGTGTCATGTATTCATGTTCTTCCATCTTCTTGAAGCCCATCAAAGACCTCATTGTTAAGTATGTTAAGTAAACTGATGAATTTGGTTTGATTGACTATGTTCACTAATACCTTCTGAGACTGCCAGTTCACTAATACCCTCTGAGACTGCAAGTTGGGGTAATCCAAGTTTCTCAAAACTCTTTTCCTCTTATGAAGTCTGTGATTGATGGGGGCATGGGTGGTCCACAATTTGCTGTGCAAAGTTGCATCTCTGGCTTTGAGTCCAGGTTTGATTATATTTCAAGGTATGTCAGCAAGTTACTCATGGGTTCCAACAAAGTGGTAACGTCTAAGACTTGCATCAATTCGGGCTTTATGATAATATAATGAAAAATTCAGTTCAAAGCGACATTAAAGAAAACGCACTTACTCACTGATTGCAGTTTAGTGATGTCCAGGCCCGCTTCTCTCCTCAAGTCTGGCAATGGCAAGTAGCATGTATGTAAAAAGAAAGATACACCAAATTGTCATGATTATTGATCTCACACTCTGATTTGGTTTCAGCTAAGAAGACGTATGCTTTGTCAAAGACAGAAGCTTCCTCAAGTCATCGACATGAGAAAGACGAACAGCCAAAGGTGATCTCATTTCATATTTGTTTGAGAAGTGTACATGTGTACCTAAAGTAGTTTACAAGATGGTCATTATGTAAATATGTATCAGCATGATCATTGCACACAGTGTTATCTCAATCTTTCATTTCTAGTTTAGGACCGCCTCTGTGGTCTAGTAGTAGAGCAACCACCCAGAGAGTGGAAGGTCAGGGGTTTCGATCCCCAACCACATTATACCAAAATACCTAAAATGTTGGTATTTGTTGTTACCATTCCTGGCACACAACATTGAGGGGCTAAAACAAGGACTGGTCAGCTCGGAGTTGGTATGCTGTGTCTCAGTGGGGTACTCATGTTAAAGTGGTATCTCAGTGGGCTAGCACTATCGGCATCATTCGGGACTAGTACAGGGTCACGCGCATGCACGCATGCACACGGGCAGGCACACACACACAGGCATGCACTCACACACTAACACACACACACACGCAGGCACACACACACACACACAGGCATGCACACACACACACACGCATTCACGCAGGCACACACACACACACAGGCATGCACTCACACACACACACACACACACATGCGCACACACAGGCACTCAAACACACACACACACACACACACACACACACACACACACACACACACACACACACACACACACAGGCGTGCACTCACACACACACATCTTGAACGCGAGATAAAACTCCATTTCACCTAGCCTCTCCTCACCTCATCTCTAGTTCTTAGGAAGTTTGTTTGTATGTTTGTTGTTACACGAAACAATATAAAAAAGTTATATGACGGTGGTATGTAAATAGCAATCCAATAATCGACATCATGAGCATTGATCAACGCAACTGGGATAAGATGACATGCAATCACATTGACCAAGCCTCAACATCAGATCCATTTAATCACCTCTTTCTACAAGCACAGGTTCCCTGGGACCCATATTCTTACCCGGAATACCCGTAGAACACAGGCTGAGAAGTGGTTTTCTCCCATTGAGTGAGACTAGGAATGATATGACATAACGCAATGACATTTCAACACGTAACTATGGTAACTTGACATCAAGTCAAGTCCATGATGTTGATTTTCAGCTGTTGAATTCAGCTACTAAAATGGTATTGTTGAAACTTTCGATTCTGTATCAATGCAATTTGTGATTTTCAAATGATGCCACAAAATGAAATGTATTTTTGTAAGTACCCGAGTACTGCAGAAGTTCCATAAAAAGTTCACTGTACATTGAAAGGATGAGGAATTTCCAAATACCGTTGCCCTACCTTAGCATCTGCAAGTCTCTGTCTATCCAAATATTATCTGCACATGTGCACATGATGCCAAGTTATCAGGAATGTGAATGGGACTGAGTGACTGAAAGACCTTGAACCTTTATGATGACAATCAGGTTGAAAAACAAGTGTGTGTTGAACATGTAAAATATCTAAATATCCTGTTATGATGTCAATATGTGTGTAGGTTGTGATCCCGGACCGCCTGGAGCAGGAGATAATCGAGATGATCCTGGAGCACCAGCAGGACAACAAGGTCCAGGGAGATGTGTCCAAGAGGCTGTCCACCAAGAAACTCACTGTAGGTCTTGAAAACCTTATCTCTGTGGGCGTCAGGGGACAGAACAGGTTGTCAGGTCCCCATGTTTGTTGGTTGTGTGTCGTCACACAGTGTGGATTGTGTGTCGTCACATAGTGTGGATTGTGTGGCTTGATGTTTGATTGTGTTGGTTGAGTGTCATCACACAGTGTTGGTTGTGTGTCATCGCACAGTGTTGGTTGTGTGGCTTGATGTTTGGTTGTGTGTTGTCGCACAGTGTTGGTTGTGTGTCGTCACACAGTGTGGATTGTGTGGCTTGATGTTTGATTGTGTTGGTTGTGTGTCGTCACACAGTGTTGGTTGAGTGTCATCACACAGTGTTGGTTGTGTGTCATCGCACAGTGTGGATTGTGTGGCTTGATGTTTGGTTGTGTGTCATCGCACAGTGTTGGTTGTGTGTCGTCACACAGTGTGGATTGTGTGGCTTGATGTTTGATTGTGTTGGTTGAGTGTCATCACACAGTGTTGATTGTGTGGCCTGAATGTTTGGTTGTGTTGGTTGTGTGTCGTCGCACAGTGTTGGTTGTGTGTCATCACACAGTGTGGATTGTGTGGCCTGGATGTTTGATTGTGTTGGTTGTGTGTCATCACACAGTGTTGGATGTGTGTCATCGCACAGTGTTGGTTGTGTCATCGCAGTGTGGATTGTGTGGCCTGGATGTTTGGTTGTGTTGGTTGTGTGTCATCGCACAGTGTTGGTTGTGTGTCGTCGCACAGTGTTGGTTGTGTGTCATCACACAGTGTTGGTTGTGTGTCATCACACAGTGTGGATTGTGTGGCCTGGATGTTTGATTGTGTTGGTTGTGTGTCATTACACAGTGTTGGTTGTGTGTCATCACACAGTGTCGATTGTGTGGCCTGGATGTTTGGTTATGTTGGTTGTGGGTCGCCGCACAGTGTTGGTTGTGTGTCATCACACAGTGTTGGTTGTGTGTCATCACACAGTGTTGGTTGTGTGTCATCACACAGTGTGGATTGTGTGGCCTGGATGTTTGATTGTGTTGGTTGTGTGTCATCACACAGTGTTGGTTGTGTGTCATCACACAGTGTCGATTGTGTGGCCTGGATGTTTGGTTATGTTGGTTGTTGGTCGCCGCACAGTGTTGGTTGTGTGTCATCACACAGTGTTGGTTGTGTGTCATCACACAGTGTTGGTTGTGTGTCATCACACAGTGTGGATTGTGTGGCCTGGATGTTTGATTGTGTTGGTTGTGTGTCATCGCACAGTGTCGGTTGTGTGTCATCTCACAGTGTTGGTTGTGTGTCATCGAAAAGTGTTGGTTGTGTGTCATCACACAATGTTGGTTTTGGTCATCTCACAGTGTTGGTTGTGTGTCATCACACAGTGTTGGTTGTGTGTCATCGAAAAGTGTTGGTTGTGTGTCATCACACAGTGTTTGTTGTGTGTCATCACACAGTGTTGTTTGTGTGTCATCGCACAGTGTTGGTTGTGTGTCGTCGCACAGTGTTTGTTGTGTGTCATCGAAAAGTGTTGGTTGTGTGTCATCGAAAAGTGTTGGTTGTGTGTCATCGCACAGTGTTGGTTGTGTGTCATCACACAGTGTTGGTTGTTTGTCATCGCACAGTGTTGGTTGTGTGTCATCACACAGTGTTGGTTGTTTGTCATCGTAGTGTGGATTGTGTGGCCTGGATGTTTGGTTGTGTTTTTTGTGTCATCACACAGTGTTGGTTGTGTGTCATCGCACAGTGTGGATTGTGTGGCCTGGATGTTTGATTGTGTTGGTTGTGTGTCATCTCACAGTGTTGGTTGTGTGTCATCACACAGTGTTGGTTGTGTGTCATCGAAAAGTGTTGGTTGTGTGTCATCACACAGTGTTTGTTGTGTGTCATCACACAGTGTTGGTTGTGTGTCATCACACAGTGTTGGTTGTGTGTCATCGAAAAGTGTTGGTTGTGTGTCATCGCACAGTGTTGGTTATGTGTCATCACACCGTGTTGGTTGTTTGTCATAGTAGTGTGGATTGTGTGGCCTGGATGTTTGGTTGTGTTGGTTGTGTGTCGTCGCACAGTGTTGGTTTAAGTGTCATCACACAGTGTTGGTTGTGTGTCCTCACACAGTGTGGATTGTGTGGCCGGATGTTTGGTTGTGTTGGTTGTGTGTCATCACACAGTGTTGGTTGTGTGTCATCGCACAGTGTTGGTTGTGTGTCCTCACACAGTGTGGATTGTGTGGCCTGGATGTTTGATTGTGTTGGTTTGTGTCAACACACAGTATTGGATGTGTGTCATCACACAGTGTTGGTTGTGTGTCATCGCACAGTGTGGATTGTGTGGCCTGGATGTTTGGTTGTGTTGGTTGTGTGTCATCACACAGTCATGCTGTGTCAACGATCTGTACAACCTTTCATGTTGTGTCAAGGATCTGTACAACCTACCATGTTGTGTCAAGGATCTGTACAACCTGTCATGTCGTGTCAAGGATCTGTACAACCTGTTATGTTGTTTCTAGGATCTGTACAACCTGTCATGTCTTGTCAAGGATCTGTACAACCTTTCATGTTGTGTCAAGGATCTTTACAACCTGTCATGTCGTGTCAAGGATCTGTACAACCTCTCATGTTGTGTCAAGGATCTGTACAACCTTTCATGTCGTGTCAAGGATCTGTACAACCTGTTATGTTGTTTCTAGGATCTGTACAACCTGTCATGTTGTGTCAAGGATCTGTACAACCTGTCATGTCGTGTCAAGGATCTGTACAACCTGTCATGTTGTGTCAAGGATCTGTACAACCTGTTATGTTGTTTCTAGGATCTGTACAACCTATCATGTCGTATCAAGGATCTCTACAACCTGTCATGTCTTGTCAAGGATCTGTACAACCTGTTATGTTGTTTCTAGGATCTGTACAACCTATCATGTCGTGTCAAGGATCTGTACAACCTCTCATGTTGTGTCAAGGATCTGTACAACCTACCATGTTGTGTCAAGGATCTGTACAACCTACCATGTTGTGTCAAGGATCTGTACAACCTGTTATGTTGTGTCAAGGATCTGTACAACCTAGCTACCATGTTGTGTCAAGGATCTGTACAACCTACCATGTTGTGTCAAGGATCTGTACAACCTATCATGTCGTGTCAAGGATCTGTACAACCTGTCATGTTGTTTCTAGGATCTGTACAACAACCTGTCAGATGCTGGGTTCTCTCAGAAGCAGATCGAGGCCGCCATGAACAATACGGTGGCACATGGTGGCGACCTCATCAGTGCCCTCGACTGGCTGTGTCTCAACACAAGGAACGGTAGGATGGTCATTTTAGTGGCTCTGGCTCTAGTTTTTGTTTGCTTATGACATGACACTTTGTCCATCTACCATCTTTTATCTGTTTAACATCATGAACCTGTTTAAATTTTAACAATTTTGACACCTCCTCTGAAATCATAAGGTGTGTGAAACTTTGTATGAATTACACTTATGTTGGTGTCTCTCCAGAATTTCTCAACAGTAAACTTATGACGAACTCGCTTAAAACGAATTGACGGATATAACAAATTATTTCTTGGTCCCATCCATTTGCTGTATATATGTGGTACATATGCTTATAACGAACTACGTTTATGACAAGTTAAAATTAGTGGTCCTTTTGAGTTTTTATGAAATTAATGTGCAGTACGCATCTGGTAATGTGGTATGCAGAATTGAATATGATCATGATGATAAGTGGTGGGGTAAAAACTATTTGTAAACAATGTTTTTTACCCTGCTGTGGAAAGAAATATACAGCCGTAAAACCAAACATCCTATGATCATACAAAGGAGTACAATGATTCCACAGAGGAATACATTGAATCATTGCTGTGTAAGAATGAGCATTACCTCTGCTGCAGATGAACTCCCTGAAGGCTTCTCCCAGACCTTGCTGCGAGAAGAACAGAAACGAAGACCCCAGTTTGATGCCTCACTTCAGGCCCTACCCACAACTACTGACCCTAGCCCAAGTAGTCAAGCACAGTCCGCAGGAGCAGCCGTAAGTTGTGATCAGTGGTTCCACAAGGTCTATGCCCTGTGGCAGCCCTTATAGCAGTATTCTTCAAATGATGATACAAGCGTGAAAAACGTTACATGACTATTGCTGTTGGTATGTATATTGAGAAAAACAATGTTAGCCAACCAAAATCCAAGATGGCCACCATTTGTCAAAATCATTATCTATTTGTGACATAGTAATTCATAGAATTCATGATCTAAGTGTTGAATGCAGCATAAAAACCATTCACTTGCTTCCTATCATTATCCTGGTATACCATTTGTGTGTATCACTGAGGCCCATAATGAGAACAAGCTGACACAGTGTTGCTGTACAGAGTTGCGTCCCTTGGCATGCCGGAACCATGTGATCATTGGTTTTAACATTCTGTAGTCGCTGGCTTGTCAGCTCATCAAATCACACATGACAGTCGCTAGCTGCTTGGCTCATCAACACACACGACAGTCACTAGCTGCTTGGCTCATCAACACACATGACAGTCATTCGCTGCTTGGCTCGTCAACATACATGACAGTCATTGGCTGCTTGGCTCGTCAACACACATGACAGTCATTGGCTGCTTGGCTCGTCAACACACATGTCAGTCACTAGCTGCTTGGCTCGTCAACACACATGACAGTCATTGGCTGCTTGGCTCGTAAACATACATGACAGTCGCTGGCTGCTTGGCTCATCAACACACATGACAGTCGCTGGCTGCTTGATACACCAACACACAAGACAGTCGCTGGTTGCTTGGCTCAACAACACACATGACAGTCATTGGCTGCTTGGCTCATCAACACACATGACAGTCATTGGCTGCTTGGCTCGTCAACACACATGTCAGTCGCTAGCTGCTTGGCTCGTCAACACACATGACAGTCATTGGCTGCTTGGCTCATCAACATACATGACAGTCGCTAGCTGCTTGGCTCATCAACACACATGACTGTCATTGGCTGCTTGGCTCATCAACACACATGACAGTGGCTAGCTGCTTGGCTTGTCAACACACATGACAGTCATTGACTGCTTGGCCCGTCAACATACATGACAGTCATTGGCTGCTTCGCCCGTCAACATACATGACAGTCATTGGCTGCTTGGCCTGTCAACACACATGACAGTCGCTAGCTGCTTCGCTCTTCAACACACATGCAGTCGCTAGCTGCTTGGCTCGTCAACACACATGACAGTCATTGGCTGCTTGGCTCGTCAACACACCTGACAGTCATTGGCTGCTTGGCTCGTCAACACACATGTCAGTCGCTAGCTGCTTCGCTCGTCAACACACATGACAGTCATTGGCTGCTTGGCTCGTCAACACACATGTCAGTCGCTTGCTGCTTCGCTCGTCAACACACATGACAGTCGTTGGCTACTTCGCTCGTCAACACACATGACAGTCGCTAGCTGCTTCGCTCTTCAACACACATGCAGTCGCTAGCTACTTGGCTCGTCAACACACATGACAGTCGCTAGCTGCTTCGCTCTTCAACACACATGCAGTCGCTAGCTGCTTGGCTCGTCAACACACATGACAATCATTGGCTACTTGGCTCTTCAACACACCTGACAGTCATTGGCTGCTTGGCTCGTCAACACACCTGACAGTCATTGGCTGCTTGGCTCGTCAACACACATGACAGTCATTGGCTGCTTGGCTCGTCAACACATGTCAGTCGCTAGCTGCTTGGCTCGTCAACACACATGACAGTCATTGGCTGCTTGGCTCGTCAACACACATGACAGTCGCTAGCTGCTTCGCTCTTCAACACACATGACAGTCATTGGCTGCTTGGCTCATCAACACACATGACAGTCGCTAGCTGCTTGGCTCGTCAACACACATGACAGTCATTGGCTGCTTGCCTCGTCAACACACCTGACAGTCATTGGCTGCTTGGCTCATCAACACACATGACAGTCATTGGCTGCTTGGCTCGTCAACACACATGTCAGTCGCTAGCTGCTTGGCTCGTCAACACACATGACAGTCATTGGCTGCTTGGCTCGTCAACACACATGACAGTCGCTAGCTGCTTGGCTCGTCAACACACATGACAGTCATTGGCTGCTTGGCTCATCAACACACATGACAGTCGCTAGCTGCTTCGCTCTTCAACACACATGCAGTCACTAGCTGCTTGGCTCGTCAACACACATGACAGTCATTGGCTGCTTGGCTTGTCAACACACCTGACAGTCATTGGCTGCTTTGCTCTTCGACAAACATGCAGTCGCTAGCTGCTTGGCACATCAACACACATGCAGTCGCTAGCTACTTGGCTCGTCAACACACATGACAGTCGCTAGCTGCTTGGCTCTTCAACACACATGCAGTCGCTAGCTGCTTGGCTCGTCAACACACATGACAGTCATTGGCTACTTGGCTCTTCAACACACCTGACAGTCATTGGCTGCTTGGCTCGTCAATACACCTGACAGTCATTGGTTGCTTGGCTCGTCAACACACATGACAGTCATTGGCTGCTTGGCTCGTCAACACATGTCAGTCGCTAGCTGCTTGGCTCGTCAACACACATGACAGTCATTGGCTGCTTGGCTCGTCAACACACATGACAGTCGCTAGCTGCTTGGCTCGTCAACACACATTACCGTCATTGACTGTTTTGCCTGTCAACACACATGACAGTCGCTAGCTGCTTCGCTCTTCAACACACATGCAGCCGCTAGCTGCTTGGCTCGTCAACACACATGACAGTCATTGGCTGCTTGGCTCGTCAACACACATGACAGTCATTGGCTGCTTGGCTCGTCAACACACATGTCAGTCGCTAGCTGCTTGGCTCGTCAACACACATGACAGTCATTGGCGGCTTGGCTCGTCAACACACATGACAGTCGCTAGCTGCTTGGCTCGTCAACACACATGACAGTCATTGGCTGCTTGGCTCATCAACACACATGACAGTCGCTAGCTGCTTCGCTCTTCAACACACATGCAGTCGCTAGCTGCTTGGCTCGTCAACACACATGACAGTCATTGGCTGCTTGGCTTGTCAACACACCTGACAGTCATTGACTGCTTTGCTCTTCGACAAACATGCAGTCGCTAGCTACTTGGCTCGTCAAAACACATGACAGTCGCTAGCTGCTTCGCTCTTCAACACACATGTAGTCGCTAGCTGCTTGGCTCGTCAACACACATGACAGTCATTGGCTGCTTGGCTCGTCAACACACCTGACAGTCATTGGCTGCTTGGCTCGTCAACACACCTGACAATCATTGGCTGCTTGGCTCATCAACACACATGACAGTCGCTAGCTGCTTCGCTCTTCAACACACATGCAGTCGCTAGCTGCTTGGCTCGTCAACACACATGACAGTCATTGGCTGCTTGGCTTGTCAACACACCTGACAGTCATTGGCTGCTTGGCCTGTCAACACACATGATAGTCGCTGGCTGCATTGCTTGTCAACACACATGACAGTCATTGACAGCTGCTTGGCACATCAACACACATGCAGTCGCTAGCTACTTGGCTCGTCAACACACATGACAGTCGCTAGCTGCTTGGCTCGTCAACACACATGTCAGTCGCTAGCTGCTTGGCTCGTCAACACACATGACAGTCATTGGCTGCTTGGCTCGTCAACACACATGACAGTCGCTAGCTGCTTGGCTCATCAACACACATGACAGTCATTGGCTGCTTGGCTCATCAACACACCTGACAGTCGCTAGCTGCTTGGCCTGTCAACACACATGACAGTCGCTAGCTGCTTCGCTCTTCAACACACATGCAGCCGCTAGCTGCTTGGCTCGTCAACACACATGACAGTCATTGGCTGCTTGGCTCGTCAACACACCTGACAGTCATTGGCTGCTTGGCTCATCAACACACATGACAGTCATTGGCTGCTTGGCTCGTCAACACACATGTCAGTCGCTAGCTGCTTGGCTCGTCAACACACATGACAGTCATTGGCTGCTTGGCCCGTCAACATACATGACAGTCATTGGCTGCTTGGCCTGTCAACACACATGATAGTCGCTAGCTGCATTGCTCGTCAACACACATGACAGTCGCTAGCTGCTTGGCTCATCAACACACCTGACAGTCATTGGCTGCTTGGCCTGTCAACACACATGACAGTCGCTGGCTGCTTGGCTCGTCAAATCACATGACAGTCGCTAGCTGCTTGGCTCATCAAAACACATGACAGTTGCTAGCTGCTTGATACACCAACACACCTGACAGTAGCTGGTTGCTTGGCTCATCAACACACATGACAGTCGCTGGTTGCTTGGCTCGTAAACTCACAATACAGTCATTGGCTGCTTGGGTCGTCAACACACATGTCAGTCGCTAGTTGCTTGGCTCATCAACACACATGACAGTCGCTGGTTGCTTGGCTCGTCAACACACATGACAATCAATAGCTGCTTGGCTCATCAACACACATGACAATCACTTGCTGCTTGGCTCATCAACACACATGACAATCACTAGCTGCTTGGCTCATCAACACACGTGACAGTCGCAAGCTGCTTGATACACCATCACACATGACAGTCAGTAGCTGCTTCGCTCATCAATACACATGACAGTTGCTGGCTGCTTGGCTCATCAACACACATGAGCGTCGCAAGCCTCTTGATACACCAACACACATGACAGTCAGTAGCTGCTTGGTTCATCAACACACATGACAATCACTAGCTGCTTGGCTCATCAACACACATGACAATCACTACCTGCTTTGGTCATCAACACACATGACAGTGGCTAGCTGCTTGATACACCAACACACAAGACAGTCGCTGGTTGCTTTGCTCATCAACACACATGAAAGTCACTAGCTGTTTGGCTCATCAACACACATGACAATCACTAGCTGCTTGGCTCATCAACACACATGACAATCGCAAGCCGCTTGATACACCAACACACATGACAGTCAGTAGCTGCTTGGCTCATCAACACACATAACTGTTGCTGGTTGCTTGGCTCATCAACACACATGACAG